CTGTATACATACATACAAACATATATATATATATATATACACATGCATACACATGTGTGTGTGTGTGTGTGTGTGTGTGTGTGTGTGTGTGTGTGTGTGTGTGTGTGTGTGTGTGTGTGTGTGTGTGTGTGTGTGTATGTGTGTCTTTTAGTATGAGAGATGACTAAAGCGCATTACTGGAAACATCCCAGGCTCTTACACCCCGGACTGGTCCCTCATTTCCACCTTAACTTGACTGAGTCTTAAAAAAAGAAGAAAAAAAAGAAGAAAAAAAGAAAAAACATTTTCCGGTAAGCTAGTTTCAGGGCGCCTTTTCCGCTTGAAGTTCGACGCAGTGTCGGTTTTCTTTGAAATATTAAGATTTGGAGGTCCCTTGAGGTAATTTTTTGTTTGTTTGCTAAAGTCTCTTCTCAGTGAATGATGGTATCTTAGTTGATAATTTAAAGAAAGGACGAGGGCAAAGCCGTTACTGTTGCTACAATTACTATTAATATTACTATTACTTCTACTACTTACTACTTCTGCTATTACTTTTACATCTACTACTACTATTACAATTACTTCTACTACTACTATTACTATTACTTCTACTTCTACTATTACTATTGCTTCTGTTACTGCTACTATTACTACTATTAATAGTAACAATAATAGCGATGATGATAATGATTATAATGATAATAATAACTAACGAACGACCATGCTTATTCTTTCATTAGAGAATCCCAGCCAATATTTTCCAGATTGTGTCTCAGGATAATTCTTTCGGTGGGTTGTGGAAAATAGTCTCGCCGCATGTAAGAAAAAAAAATCGTTTAGTTCTTTTTCTGAAAAAAAAACAAACATATTTCGTAAAGAGAGTGTGTATGTAATAGTTATCAAAATATATCTAGTCTATGCGAATGAGTGCATATATAATTATATTAATGATGAAATATGTAAATAACAGTAATAATAGCACTGATACCAAAGAACAATATGTGTTCGTATGTCTGTCCGCGATGATTTCAATATCGATAATAATAAAAAAAAAACTTACTAGATCCTTTTTCATTGGGAAAGATTTCTCCATGGAAATGATTTTTCAGTTTATTGTATTTTTTTCAAAGCTCGAGAACGGAAACATATCGGCGGAAACAGATATCGGCTTGTATCCCCTTGCCATACGCCGGGTAACTCCCGGGTAATTCGTTATGAAAATACGGATTTTTCCCGAAAAAAGCCCATAGAAAATTACCCACAGATATTTATAGGCATGAACATTGTATTAAATATCTTCCTCAAATATATTCAGCTATTTATTAAAACTATTTTGAAGTATACAAATATCTCTCGGAAGTTATAAGTATTTCGAACCAAAATTGATGATGTCATTAAGTTAAATACAAACACCAATACAAAGGCTACCGAGTGTATTTCCAGAAATATGATACAAACACAAGAAACTTTTCCTATAAAAGACCTCTTCCGTCTCAGTCTGGCACCCTCTAGGATCCGGATACCGATGGCGACAGTATAATACGTAATCACGGGTCAGATGTTAAGCACTGAGTGAACCTGGCTGTGTTGCAGTGACTAGCTGGTTATTTTGATCAAATAATTGCCTGAAGTGTTTGCAGAAGAGGGACTAGTTTACATATGATATGATTCACAAACACTTAAATATATGTATATGTATATATATGTATATCTATCTATCTTTTTATCTATCTATCTATCTATGTGTGTGTGTGTGTGTATGTGTGTGTGTGTGTGTGTGTGTGTGTGTGTGTGTGTGTGTGTGCGATCCGCGCTCCGGACGCACAGCCACCACTCCGGAAGGTGAAGCCTCGGTCAGCTTATCAGCGCTAATCGGCGGATGACAGTGAATGTAATAGGCGAAGAGTTGGTAGTGGGTGTATACATACATGCACATGCACAGATTCACACAGATTCTGGCAAAAGCACCTCTAACCTTTCGAAGATTGTAGAAGCCCCTTTAATAAGCCTGACAGACAGACTCCTTTTCACAGGAGTTTTGACCGAGAACCAACAAAGCACAAGTACTCTATTCCCTTACATCGCCAAAGAACGTGAAATGGCTTTTTGTCATTGATAATGTAAAGATTTAAGTCAATGGGTAATGGCGCTACTTCCCTATGCAGGCTTTTTATCAATGCAAAAAAAAAAAAAAACTTACTAAATCCTTTTTCATTGGGAAAAATTTCTCCATGGAAATGATTTTTCAGTTTATTGTATTTTTTTCAAAGCTCGAGAACGGAAACATATCGGCGGAAACAGATATCGGCTTGTATCCCCTTGCCATACGCCGGGTAACTCCCGGGTAATTCGTTATGAAAATTCGGATTTTTCCCGAAAAAAGCTCATAGAAAATTATCCACAGATATTTCTAGGCATGAACATTGCATTAAATATCTTCCTCAAATATATTAAGCTATTCCTTAAAACTATTTTGAAGTATACAAATATCTCTCGGAAGTTATAAGTATTTCGAACCAAAATTGATGATGTCATTAAGTTAAATACAAACACCAATACAAAGGCTACCGAGTGTATTTCCAGAAATATGATACAAACACAAGAACTTTTCCTATAAAAGACCTCTTCCGTCTCAGTCTGGCACCCTCTAGGATCCGGATACCGATGGCGACAGTATAATACGTAATCACGGGTCAGATGTTAAGCACTGAGTGAACCTGGCTGTGTTGCAGTGACTAGCTGGTTGTTTTGATCAAATAATTGCCTGAAGTGTTTGCAGAAGAGGGACTAGTTTACATATGATGTGTGTGTGTGTGCATGCGTGCGTGTGTGTGTGCGTGTGCGTATGTGCCTATGTATACGAAAGTAGTTCTAAAGAAATGCCTCCTATTTTTCATTCTGCTCCAAGGAATCCAAGAAGACTATTTAAGTCATCGATATGATAACTGAACCTTCGCGCCCATAAACCTTCCATCTCTCCGTTGCAGATCCTGACGATGGATGTACGTCAGATGCGTCACTGAAGTCCTCCAGCGCCAGATGATGTCAGCGCGAGGAAATGGGTTTGTCGACTCCGGACTGGCGACGGAGTGATGACGGAGGT